ATTACCTATAGGATAATAGATAGAGATAATAGTAGAGATAATAATAATAGATAATAATAATAATAATAATAATAATAATAATAATAATAATAATCATAGAGATAATAGTACCCACCAAGTACTCTACTAGTCCCTACTAGTTTCTAATAATGCTCTACCAGTCCCTAATAGTTACCTACTAGTATCCTACTGGTCTTTACTAGTATCCTAATAGAAATAGGTATTAGTAGGGAATAGTAGGGTACTAATAGGGACTAGTAGGTATTACTAGTAGAACTGATTTTTAAACCATTTTGTAATTTTTTGTAAATTATATTTTTTTAAACTCATATGCACTTTTCTATATATTTATTAGTGTAAGTGTGACATAACAAAATAAAAAATCCCCTGATTTTTGATAGGGATATGAGATAATATTAATCATATACCTGCGATTTCTTAACCTTAAACTCTTTTAAGGTTAAGTTGTTTTTAAACTTCTTTTAGTTTGTATTTCATATATACATATATATATATGATGAGAAAGTGGCGGTATTTTATGATTTAATTGAATAAAAAAGGGTGGAGACATCTTGGTATATATATATATATGTATATTTATAAGTGATGAGGGGACGAGAATAAATATATGTATATATATACCAAAGTGGCAGAAAAGGTGGCTATGATGGCAGACATCAGATCAAAGGAAGAAGTTGCCTGTTTTGCGAGAGCTTTTCGAGGGTGTCGTCTCATCGCACACCCGCTTCTTTAACCCAGCGAGCGCGCACTTTCTTTCTTTCTTTTTCGCTTTTTTCATCACCCCCACCCCCACCCCCTTCCTATATATCTTAAACTCTTTCACTTTGAACAACTTTCAACTTTAATCTTCTCAGTGCACAAGACAGAGAGAGAAAGAGAGAGTTCGTCTAATGTATATATATATCTATCCAATTTGTTTTACCCTTGGCGAAAGAAAAAAAATTCATCAAATTCAAATGTTACAAGTTGTATATGTAAAAAAAATATATATATAGTATATCCAAGTATTAGTCTCAGACTGCTCGACTTTTTTTTTATATTGCACGTCGTTTGTCCTGATGTGCGCACATTTTCACATTATATCGTATATATATATATATATATATATATATATATATATATATATATATATACATATATATACATATATATATATATATATATATATATAACGATTGCCTTTTATTCCGTTATATATTTTGACTCTCTTCCAGAGATCCTTCGAGTGAAGAAGACGCGGAAAAAAGGGGGTGTCAAAAGTTGGGGTTGACACGAACCGATGACAGTTGACTGTTTGCGGGCGAGGGTGTGTCTCTCATTTTTTTTTTTTTTATAAGTTGCTTCGACGAACGGATTATTCGCGCATTTGAAAATGGAATAACGCTGTTTTTTTTTTATTAATATGAGATTTTTTTTTGAAAGAGGGTAAAAGGATTATTTTCCCAATAAAAGTGCAAATATTTCTAAGAAATTTTCATTGACCTAAGATTTTTTCAAAAATACTTTATGCATTAAAAAAAACATTCTGAAATTTAGAATATCCGGTGCAGAAATTTTGCCAAGGCCCAAATCGGGGCTGGACTAGGCTGCCCTATTAGGAAATGAAACGCTGCACCTAATGTGGCCCCGCAATTAGTAAATCCACATTTTCTAGTCGCTCTGATTTGCTCCTGATCAGATGTGGCGTTTCATTCCCTACTAGGGCCCTGATAGGACAATTTCTATACTAGCTATTTTAGAATATTTTTTACTTAAATTCAGTAGGGTAATATTTTTAAAATTAGAATATATTTTTGGTGTATTAAAATCTAAGCGTTAAGAATATATTCTAATTTTAAGAATATTACATATCTGAATTTAAGTATATAAAATATTCTAAAATAGGTATAGTATATTTTCTAAATTTAAGAATATTATTTTTCTTCATTGAAAAAATTGTTGGCGCAGCTGATTTAATATATTTGACAGTGACCTCGGGAAAAAAAAAATCTCTATAACAGTGAATCTCTCTCTCTCTCTCTCTTTCTCTCTTATTCAGAAATTGGTGAAAAGTTTAGCACTAGTGAAATGGTGAAGAAAACGTCGGAAACGTAATTTATACGTGCGATCGATCAAACTCTTTGAATTCTGGGGTAAGGGCGTCTGTCGCTCCATCGAGGCGATTCGATGAGCTAACGCTAACTTAACGCTACACACCCCACTGGGCTGCACTCGGTCAGATAACTCTTGGATTTTCAAGCGCGCCCAGCTTCTCTCGTGCAACGACTACGACGACGATATCCATCGAATATCTTCGCGCTCTTTTCGATCCTTTTCACTCCCTCTCTCTCTCTTTTACTCTCCAACTCTCGTTCATCTCGCGAATGTTTACTCACTTGTGGATTCTTCAGTTACCTACTTCTTTGGTCCAGCGCCTTTCCTTTCCCTCTCTCTCAATATATATATATATATATATACAGATTCAATGAACTTTGGAGATTATACTCATTCTGCCTCGAGCGCAGTTTCTGTAAATACTGAAGCCGGTCTATATTTAAGGCTAAAGTGGGCTAAATTATAACCAGAACGTATAAATATACTTGATATCTTCGGAAAATGAATTTTTTTAAAATTTGTTTGTTGAAATACTGAAAACTGGTAAACATTACTGAACCAGTACTTGACAATATTGATTCCAAAATTGTCTATCAGATCAGAATTTTGTGAAAAGACACCAAAAAAAAATTTGTTTTGATTACAATGCAAAAATTTTCCGTCTTAAAAGTGCAAAAAAAAAAACGGCTTATTTGCGTCTACGATATATCAAATGTGTCTTTAAAACAAGAAGTTTTTTGCACTTTTAAGACGGTCCAGTTTTTGTACACTAAAAAAGCGTAACTCTAAAAAGTATATCTTCTTGGCGCCTATTTATAAGAATACTTTATACTTAAATTCAGCATCTATTCTTACACACAAAAAACAAATACTGAAACCGTTAACATCTTAAAATCAAAATGCCTTAAAACTAGTGTAATTTTAATCTTAAAACTAGATTAAGTCAATTTTAGGACTTAAAATCATACACTCAAGGCTGAAATTCAGTAAAAATGGTTCTAATGTTAACGGTTTTAGTCAAAAGTGAACTGAAAGTAAGTATTATTTTTTAGTGTGTAAAATAAGAATATACTCTTGATATTAGAAATATATATTATTAGTATATATTCTTAAAATATATTTCTAATATTAAGATATATTCTTATTTTAAAGAATAGTATATACTTAATTTAAGCATAAAAAAATATCCTTAAATAGGCGCCAAGGAGATATAATTAAATTTAGATTTATGTTTGTGTATGCGAAAGTATAACCTTTTTTTAAATATTCAAACAGACATTAAAATTTTAGAAATTAGAACAGAAAAATTACAACCAACCCCTATATAGCTCCCCTATACTTGTCGCAATGTGAAAAATAATTTCTCTCTCTCAAATTTTTATCCACGTTTTAACATTTAACTGATGACAATAAAAGCCTGACATTATCAACGAATATGGATTATCCTTACAGGGGGGGGGGAGTTATATAGAAACTGAATTCTGACGAAAATGTCCGATGAGAGTGGAAGGAAGGAAGATCAGAGAAGAGAGAGAGAGAGAGAGAGAGAGAGAGAGAGAGGTACTATGGCTAAGGCGTTTAACCCCATTAGTCCTTGAATGGAACTCCTCCCTTCTTTTCTCACCCTCTCTATCAAACTATCCTCTTCTCTTTCTCTCTCTCTCTCTCTCTCTCTTCTCTCTTATATGGTATATATACATATATATACCCAAGATCCAAAGAGAGGGTGAATAGTCGACATCGTCGTCTCAGGGCTTTCTAAAACCGGGGACCGTCCAGAGGCTTTTCTGAAACTAGCTGTGCTGCTCACTTCACGTATTGATTTCCATTCTCTTACGTATATTTCAAGATTCGCCCTTTCTTTGCACACCTCTCTTTTGCCAATGATTCTTTTTAAGATATATAAAAATAAAGATCGCAAAAACGAATGACAAATAAATATATATATAAACTATAAAATTATTTTGTTTTCTATAAATGATTTTTAGTTCCCAAATGCGCGAAATTCGATCCAAAACTGGCCCAGCATTGGTAAAATTGACACCGACTCTTAAAATACCATACTCTCTAATCCGTAATTATACTTATATTTAAAATTGATTTTAGTATATTTACGATACATATATAACCTTTCGTAATTTTACAATCTTAAATATATAACAAAAAATTGGATTTTAGATCCATATGGGTTATTCCACGTCAAGTGTAACCAACCTAAGGCCTATATATTGTACTTACTATGTAGTAATTTTAATTAATTACTTACTTGGAAAGTGCCCCATGGAGGTTCTATCAGAATTCCGCCGGAACTTCCATCGGAATTATATTGGAGTTCCAAAGAATTTCCGATGGGATTCCGACGGAGTTACGACGGAATTCCGACGAAATTAGGACTCTAAAAATTTTGAAAAAAATTAATCGGAATTCCGTCGGAAGTCCGTCAAAATTCCGTTGGAACTCCGATAGAATTCCGACGGAATTACGTCGGAAGTTCCAACGGAATTTTGACGGACTTCCGACGGAATTCCGATTAATTTTTTTCAAAATTTTTAGAGTCCTAATTCCGTCGAAATTCCATCGGAAATTCTAATTGATGTGGAATGACCAATATATCTACCTACATTAGTATTAAAACGAACATAACATCAAAATTCAAAATCCTAGGTCAACAGACTTCAAAGTCATAGATCAAACATAACCTCAAAATTCAAGAGGGTATAAATCTCCAAGATTCAAGGCCTTAGTTCATACATAACCTCAAAATTCAAGAACAGAGCTCAAGGGATAGTTGGATTAAAAACTGTGTCCGACAAACATAACCTTAAATACTCTTAATCAAGAAACGAATATTTAGATAAATTTTTAATAATTGTAATGAAACTCACCTTTATGTGCCATATCGTCAGCGGTGACGGAGGCTAAAAGGCCGGTGGCGCCCGGCCATGGAGCGACCGCAGCGCCCAATTGCTGCGACGGCAGAATCTTCGGGCCTTTCCACACTTTTGGTCTCTGAAATTAAAAATTTTTTTTTTAGAAAAGTCGATTAAAATTTCTTTTTTCATAGAAATCAATTTTTTTTTTATATTATTCGAAAAAAATTTCTTGTGTTATCTAAAAACTACAGTTGTATATAGTCTCCACAAAACAGCTGATTTTGAAAAATAGAAAAATACACAAATCAACTCTCTAAATCTGAATTAGTAAAAATATTTACTAATTTGAATTAGTGACTCACTTTTTGCTTCTGAATTAGTAAAATTTTACTAATTGTTAGTAAAAGTTACTAATAATTAGTAGAATTTTACTAATTGAGAAGCAAAAAGTGAGTCACTAATTCAAATTAGTAAACATTTTTACTAATTTAGATTTAGAGAGAAACTTGTGAAGAAAATAAAATTTTTTGTTGCATGCAAAAATTTTTTATGAAAAAACAAATTGTTTTGTAATTTGTCCAAATCTGCCTGTTAAAAATATTATTTACTTTATTTACAGCAGAATTTTTACAATTTGTCTTTTATAATTTGATTTTTACTGGTTACTACAATAAATTTTTTTCCATGTATTTGCAAATTACATTTAATTTAAAGTATTAAAATATACAATTATATAATCCGCACAACAAAAACCATATTAAATTATTCTCAATCGTGAAAAAAAAACATTGTAAAATAATTTTCAAGATGTCTAGCCTCAAAATCGAAAGTGAAAGTTGTTTCATATTTTTTGTTTCCTCAAAACAATTGCCGTTCACGCGCTTATGCCAAAAAAAAAGAAAAAAAAATCAACGAGAATTGGAATGTTTTCTCTCCCCTAATTTCAGGTAATTAAGCTTCTAGTCGCGGCCCGCGTGGTACACGACAACAAAGTTATATTATAGAGAGAGTTTGGGTATGGCATTTCAAAACGAATGACTTGAAAACATTCTCAACCCCTGTTTTCACAACATCAGAGTGAGTGAGAGAGAAAAATAGCAGAGGTTGGGTCAGGTCGTCGGTTGCAGTGCGACATTGAAGATTTGTTAAGTGTCGCAATTACCCGACTTTGCTCTTGGGTGAAGATGTAAACTACTCGCGCAAATGTAACACCCTTCAAATCCTTCAGAGGCGGAAAAGGTTGGAACAGGAGGAGAAGGGGAAGAGGGTGTATATATACATTCACAACTCGGGACAGGAATGGAAGCAAAACTAAGTGCGATAATTAGTGCCTTGCAAGAGAGGACTTAAATAAAGTTGTATATATATGCGCGTTTATATTATATATATATATACCGCAACTAAAGAGAAAATCAACTTTTTCGAGAATAAATTATTTCTTAAAATATGTTTCGAAATACAAAAAAATTTTCTTTCTACATAAGAAGATTTATAAATAATATTTAGTTTTATTTTCATTTATATACAAAAATATTTCTTTGAGATAAAGAAATCGTTTTTTTCAAAATCACTTTTCGAATAAAAGATGAAATTTATTTTGAATTCTGACGCAATCTGAAGAAAGGGACCTTAGAAGCAAAAAATTAGAGGTTACGTTTTGAAATTTTAAAGTGAAAATACACAAAGACGTTCAACTCGTAATGGAAACTATATATACCTAATGATATTTATGTCTTCCTTACATCCAAAATATTCAATAAAAACTGATTTCAGTTTTAGAAAAACAAAAATAAACTTTTAGTTCAAGTAAAAGTGTCGTAAACATAATCAATAATTCATTTGCTTCTAAGATTCCTTTCTTCAGATCGCGTCACAATTAAAAAAAGTTTTCTTTATTGCTTTTACGAAAAAAAAGTTTTGAATTAAAGAAACCTTTTCTTTGACTGATATATTTTTAATATAAAGAAAAATTTCTTTGAATAAAAGAAATATACTTCTTCCGAACTTAAGTATATGCTGAGTTAACCACGACTGCGTTTTATATATTTCCCCACATAGCACGGAAACTTGCGGCAAGCTTACCGTGCAAGCTTGTCAAGTTTGCCGCAAGCTTGTCTGAGCTAGCGAAATGTCCCACCCAGGGCAAGCTTGCCTTAAGCTTTCCAGGAAAGGTTGCTTCAATCTTGCCATGAAAGATTGCTACAAGATTGCTGCAAGCATACTAAGAATGATTGCGGCAAGCTTGCCGTGAAAGATTGCTGTAAGCTTGCTACGTAAGGTTGCAGGAGAATTTCAACAAGCTTCTGGAAAGGTTGCTGCAATTTTTAAAAAATACATTTTAAATTAAAAAAAAATTTATTTGTTTTTTAAATTTGAAAATCCTTGTGACGTTTATTATTATTAATTATGTCCTGTTTATAATAATTACGTAGCAAGCTTACAGCAATCTTTCACGGCAAGCTTGCCGCAATTATTCTTAATATGCTTGCAGCAATCTTGTAGCAATCTTTCATGTCAAGATTGCAGCAACCTTTCTTGGAAAGCTTACAGCAAGCTTTCACGGCAAGCTTGCCCTGGGTGGGACATTTCGCTAGCTCAGACAAGCTTGCCGCAAGCTTGCTGCAAGTTTCCGTGCTATCTGGGTTCTTACAGTGCGAGTGATTCAAATAAAAATTTCGTAAAATCAAAGAAATATTTCTTTGCGTCCACAATAAGAAAGAAGCCAAAAAATAATTTCTTTAAATCAAAGAAATTTTTCTTTGACCCTATATAACAATGCACAAATTTCTTTTATTTAAAGAAAATTTCTTTAATTGTTGTAAGTTTCACCAAAAATCGACAATGCGCTTATTTTTTTATATATTTTCCGTTCTACGAGAGGAGGAACCATACGTTAAAAAAAATGTTAGGTTATGTTTATAGTGATAGTTTTACCTTGATAAAAAGTTTCTTTTTAATTAGGTAAAATCAAAATTAGTTTATTAAAACACTTAAACCTAAATGTCTTGCAGTATTTTCGCTTTAAAAATCACAAACATAACCTAAAAATTTTTTTTTCGTAAGGTCCCTTGTCGAGCGTCACATATATTATGTTATATTGAAAAGAAATTTGTAAATCTGAATTTACAATATTGGATCTATTGCAATACTGTGTAACAAAAAGAAAAAAAACAGGATTTAATGTTATTTATATACACAAATTGTGGGAACGATATATATATATATTATATATATGCATATAAATCTAATAATAGCAAACTTTTTTTTTCGGATTACGAGTGTAGTTTGTATTTTCTTCAAGTCTATGAGCTTTCAAATAAGATTTATAAGGGAGAAATTGTAGAAAACAGAAGTAGAGAGAAAGAGAAAGAGAGATAGAGAGAGAGAGACAGAGAGAAAGATGGAAAGTTGTTGGGAAGTATATAGGGAGAGTACATCGCATTCGCATATTGTGCAAGAGGATTACCTCGGATTATGCCCGACTGAGCGCAAACAGGATCTCACCGGCTTGTGTTTACAAGATGCCAAGCTGTCGATTTAACGCGCGCGCAAACTCTCATTCTCCAGTCGAATCAAATCGAATCGCGGTTCGATTAACTCGACCGATATATTGTAAATTACTTTAATATATACATATCTTACATATAACTAATCAACAATATACAATAATATATACTCCCACGCGGACTGATAAAATTGTATTTCACTGACATTCGACGATTATTATCTCTAAAGAATCTGAATTTCTGAATTTGTAAAAATTTTAACTAATTTGAATTAGAGAATTACTCTTGCTTTTGAAATACTTAAATTTTACTAAGTACTCTCTAAGTCTGAATTAGTAAAAATGTTTACTAATTTAAATTATACACGGAAAAAAATTTTCTGGTAATTCTTTAACATCGATTAGAAGATTTTACATGTTCCTAAATCTGTTAATTCTACAGATATTTTCTGTAAGGACTTAACGCATGCGCGAAAACAATGCAGTGATTCGACTAAGGCTGAGTACGATTGAGTGCGAGAGGTTAAGGCGAATTTAGTGTTTTTATTATTATCATAGTGTCGGCAAGAAAGTTTAATTAAAAAGAAAACGTCTTAAGTATATAAACATTATTATAGAAATAAATTATTAGAAATTTTTTATTTTAAAATTAACTCTAGTGATTAAGTGAGAAAAGTCGTTTGTTTCAATTTCTCGACATAAGAAAAAGTGGATTTATCATAAGTTTTGAAAACTTGCTCCTCATTTTTTTTGTTAGAAAATTATTGAAGGATGAATTTATTTACATAGAAGTTATACTAATTTATACAATAATGTTCCGCGAATTTAATGTATTCGGAGGAGAATATAACCTATAAGAAATACTCTACCAAATATATATTATCCCCATATAGTATACATAATTTGGTCACTCAACAGTTTTTAAGAACTGTAGCTCAAACTTGTAGAATTAACAGATTTTAATGCCAATGATTCTACAAATTTCTCTATTTGGAGAAACATCAGTAGATGGCGCAGGAGTTTCTGTAAATTCTACAGAAAATTTCTTTCCGTGTAGTGACACACTTTTTTTGCTTTAGAATTAGTTAAAATTTAACTAATTGTTACTAAAAGTTACTAATAATTAGTAAAATTTTACTAATTGAGAAGCAAAAAGTGAGTCACTAATTCAAATTAGTAAACCTTTTTTATCTAATTCAGATTTAGAGAGCACGTAAAAATATCTTTATCTGGAACAGCTATATGTTTCACTATAATAGCGAAAACATTCGTTGTTTTAGTGAAACTTATCGCTGTTCCAGGTGAAAATTTTTTTCCGTGAGATAGTAATTTTTTTTTATTATTAAAAATAGTAAAAAAAAAAAAATAAAATTTATATTTCAAATGCGCGAAAAGTGAGCTACTAATTCAAATTAGTTAAAATTTTTACTAATTTAAATTTACAAACTGTATAAAATATTTTTAAAATTGTATTAAAAATTAAAAAAAAGTATTTATATACATTACGGGCAATTTTATTATTGAGAATTGTAAAAAATGTTATAAATATGCGTGACGAACTCTAAACAAACGAATAACGTTACGAAAACAAAAAAATTGTTAGGTTATGTTTATGATAGTTTTTAGTTTGA